CCCGCCGTTGGCGCCTGCTCGCGGCGGCGGAGGCTCAGCGGGCGCCGCCTGAACGGAGGGCAAGGGTGGGGTCGCGCGGGAGGGTGGGCGCGCTCGATGCAGCGCATAAGGGTGTGGGGTCGAGGGTGTGCGTTGCAGCAGGACAAGAGAGTTTCGTGGCACGTGCTGCGGCGGGATGCGGCGGTCTTGCGTGCGCCGCACCTCTTCAACCGCTGCGGCCTTTGGGGGCCGGGCCGTGGTTGGGGGTCCGCGGCTGCGGATGCCGCGGCGCAGCTGACTTATTGGATTGGTGCTGGAAGCGCCGGCCGTGCCGGGCGCGGGTTCAGCGGGAGTGCGGCGCCAGCGCGACGAGCGGGTGGTGAGCGGCGCGGCGGGCGCCCAGCGCGCATGCTGCGCATGGATCCCCACTCGGCCTTGAGCCGGGGCTGCTATGCTGAATGACTTTGCCTGCATTGATACAGTTGCCCGAGGCGCTTTAGTGGTGCTGATCTACGCGCGAGCTAGCCAACAGGCGAATTTTCTGTCGTATGTAAGACAGCGAAGGCTGGAAAGCAACATGCATGCGTTTACGCGAGCCTGTCACCCGTTGCGGCTGCTGTGCAGTGGACCCCAAACGTCACAGTGGCGTTTCGAGACGAACTGCACACTCGACGCGGCCCGCCCAGGTGCCTTGTGTGAACGTGACGTCTAAGCACCTGCCACAGATACAGGAGTCACGCTCATGCTTCATGCCGCCGGCCGCTCTGTGGTGGGTTGCGACTGATGCGTTGTCACCGCCGCAGCTGGACATGCGACACCCTACATGGGTCCTTGAGAGCGGTTGGAGCGCGTGCTGCAGCGCTGGCAAACCCATGCAGAAACTCATATAGGGCAGCTGCAAGGCCGCCTCCTTGCCGACGGGCAGTCGGAGAGCACGTGTAAGCTCGTGGATTGAGTCGGCTCAATTCAGAGTCGCCCTCATGGCAGCGCTGAGTGGCCCCCCCCCGAGGGTGTGTGTTGCGTTTAGGGGAGTCCACCACAGGTGGGATGCATTAGCTTTGCTCAAAGCCGCACTGGCACATTCTTGTCAGCAACGGGTGCAGGCACCGCCGCTCGCACTGTGAATGAGAATTGTACACTTATGTACATGAGCTGTCGTTTGGTTTGCATCAAGACCTGCTGTATATGTATTGAGTTTTCCACAACAGTATCAGATTTTTTCGGTCTGCCACCCTTTTGCGTGCAGTCCGCACACGTTGTTGCCCTCCAGGTGGCACTAACGCTCCTGGGCAGCATCCCGCACACACCCACCTTACCAGGGCTGCCCCTTGATCGCAGCTCTATGGGCGCTCCGTCCTAACCGCTGATGCCCTGACGGCTGACGCGCCGGCCCTCCTTGTCCTGTCAATTTCCTCTCCCCCTGGCTGATTGAGAGCCTTCCACCCAGTTGTGCCCGCCGACTCACGAGGCTCCTGCCGGCTGCGTTGCCTCCTGCGCGGTGTCCTTGATAGGAGCGGATGGTGGTGGTGAATCTCGTTGCTGATGGCCATGCTTCACTTCTTGTCGAGCAGGCCTGACCAGCTCCTTGGCCCGCATTGCAAGGCATCCTGCGAGGAGTTTCAAGGCAGCTGCCTGGCAGCTGATGTGAGGCCTCGCTGCGCCGCTCGCGGGCCCCTGGCTGGCGCTCGGCGCTCGTGGAGGGTCGGTGTGTGGCGTGGAAGGACGCGGGTGTGAGTGGGGTTGTACCCTCCAGAGCGCACGCACCGAGCTGACCCATATCGAGTGTCGCTTGCCACCCCGCTCATGACTCACAACGACCTGGTGCTGGTGTGTGCCACGTCGCGCCGTGCGGAGCGCAGTGCCACGCCGACCTCCGCAGGGGCGGCGGCAAGCTGAGGGTCAGCCGGCCCCTTATGCCCCGCGCACGCGCAGGCTTGCACCGCAACTCGGGTGTGCACCGGAACTCGGGATATTGCAAAGTTGTCCTAATCACCACACTGGTTGCTTTACGCTTTAATCAACCGGCACACTTCTATTTGCTCCCCCAGGACCCCACCAAGCTGCGCTATGGTTGCGGCGTGGCAACCGCTGCACAGGCCGACAGAGTGTCCAGTGACCTGGCAGCCCTTGAGCCCAAGGTCACCGCTGCCGCCGTCGTGTGCACCTTGGTGCAGGCCGACATGGCCTTGATCATGCCCGCCGCCATGGAAGATTAGGTTGTTTTTGGGGGGTAAATCGTGTGTGGCGCGCCCAAGGCCCGTGCGTGAAGCCACTAATTGGCCGGGACGATTGGGAGTGCAGCAGGCTTGGCGCATACGAGTGCAGTCTGGTAAGACAGGTGCGGCCCGGAGCTCCCATGATCCCTCTGGCACTGCTGATGATGCCTCTATCTTGTAATTGAAAGAATAATACCTGAAGTTCAATACCATCATGCGCTCTGTCTGACTATAGCGCTACGGTAGTCATCATCTATCAAGCACGAACCTGCCCTGCGATGACACAACAATGAGGTTTGGGCATGGCTGGACCTGGGAACAAAGCACATGCAAGGCCTGACTAGCCTCAGGATATCCTGCATTTGGACGTTCAATGGACTTTGTAACAAGCAATAGAAAGCTCGTTGGTTCCCCTGGGTGAGTGGTGGTTGTGTGGGCGACGCAGCGGGTACTGAGCGGTGCCCTGAACGGCGCACTCCCAATGCATGGGCGCCACGGACCGTGCCTGCGGCGCATCGAGAATGTTAAGAGACCATTCACGTATTCAACTGGGTCACTAAGTCGACTGTCAGCCTCTTTCACAAGCCCGCGTGTATTGAGAGCGCGGATCAGCTCTTTTCTGCCTCCCGTGAAGCGTCTATAATCACGTGGAGCGTCGTGAAAGGTTGAGAAAGGTCCAGATAGGCACACCGGCGCCAAGCAATCTCATTTTCTCACTGCACGGGGCGCTCTGTTCTGGCTGTGGAGGATTTAGGTGCAGTCTGTAGTCTTTACGAGCACACAGTCCAGCGGCTGGCGCCGCTGCGGAGCAGCAGCGGCGCCGGCACAGGCAGAGGCAGAGGCAGCGGCAGTGGGCGGCGCAAAGCAGCACGCGCTGCGCACCCCCTTGCAGCAGCAGCCGCGCAGCCATGTCGACCGCCATGAATGGCACTCTGCGGGTGAGTTTCCCGCACGCCATCGCCCAACCCTTCGCTACCTGCATCGTCCCACATCCATGTGCGCGGCCGCTGCGCCCCCCCGTCCCGTCGCGCGCCGCGATGTCGTGGCGCGACATCACCCCCAGCGGCCGCGCCGCATCCCTAGCGGTTCCGAGCTCAGGCCGCGTCACAGCGCTCT